ACAACAGTTATTTCTGACAACACTGAATTCATGGTACAGTCAAACCTCATCTCCCATCTCAAACAATTCAGTTCTCTTGACCAAACTGTTCACAGAAAATGTCTCAGTTGTCGACCAAAACTTCAGTTTTCCACCTGACAGCTCTTTCATGTTGTTACCTCAGAATGACAAAAAGTGTCTTGGACAAAAAACAAAGGAAAGCATGCCTTTGCTACTGACTAAATCTATGATTAGCACAAACATAAAATATAAAGTGACCATCAACAGTGCTAATGTTGCCCTAGCCAGTTTGGCTCAGTGGAAAAAGTGTAGGCCTGTGGACCTAAGGCTCCTGTTTTCGATTCATGTCAAGGGCACGAACCTCCTTTGCAGGCTCTTCCCTAGCCTGAGCCTTGGTCAGGGTGTGTGTAGGAGGCAACCAATCCATGTGTTTCTCTCACATTGATGTTTCTCTCTGTCTTTTCCTCACTCTTCTACTCTCTCTAAAAATCAATGGGAAAATATCCTATGGTGAGGATTAAAATAAAAAGAGAGAGAGAGAGTGCTAATGTTGCTAAGGGTGTAAAAGTGCTCACAAAACAATAATCACAGGCAATTGAAAAGGTAGAGCCTGGCTGGCGTGGCTCAGTAGTTGAGCGTTGACCTATGAACCCAGGAGGTCACAGTTCAATTCCCAGTCAGGGCATATGCCTGGGTTGCAGGCTCCATCCTCAGGGGCATGAGGAGGCAGTGGATCAATGATTCTCTCTCATCACTGATGTTTCTTTCTCTCCCTTCATTTCTGAAATCAATAAAAAATATATATATTAGAAAAGGTAGAAAGACTCTTGTTGATTGGATAAACGAAAACTGGTTAACCACTGATAGCATTTCCGAGGCAGTTTTATATAAAAAAATTCGTTTAAGGCAAGTATTGGGTGATTGGATAAATTTAAGCAGTGTTTATTTATAGATTAAAGAGTACATGAGGCATGTACTGTGTATATAAGAAAGGCTAGAACAGAGAATCATTTTGGAATGCATTAAATCAATTCACATTATTTCTAATGGGATAAATATGATTCGGTTTTTGAAAAAAAATCGCTTTTTGAACATCCTTCTAGAATGAATTAAGTTAGATACCAAGGCTTCACTATACTGTATATCAAGATTTACTTGCTTTTTTCATTTATACTTCTCAAATGCATGGTATATCTAACTGTGTACCTAAGTAGGTGGGAACTGGACCAGATTAGATTTACTCTGAACACCTCCCCACGTTGGAAAACTGATTTATCACATGAATAGAATGCAATTCAAGGTCAGGAATTCAATGTCAGGAAAAGCTGGGGACCCCCCCCCAACACACACACACACACACACACACCAGCCTTTGAAGTTGGTAAGGCAAAACTAGTGAGCCCTATACTGTTTAGCTCAATGGATAGAGTGTCGGCTTGTGGACCTAAGGGTCCCGGGCTTGATTCAGGTCAAGGGCATGTACTTGGGTTGCAGTCTCCTCAGCTGCCTGAGAACTGGTCAGGGAGTGTGCAGGAGGTAGCCAATCGATGTGTTCCTCTCACATAGATGTTTCTCTGTCTTTTCCTCTCTCTAAAATCAATGGAAAAATATCCTCTGTGAGGATTTAAAAAAATAATAATTCTTTATTGTTGAAAATATTTTATAGGTCCTCCTTTTCCCCTCATTAACCTCTTCCAGCCTCTCAACACCTTTAATCCCATCTTTGCTGAAGAAGAATAAATTTGAAAGACTGAGGCCTGCTTTTTCTCACCCAGGAACATACAACTTCTGAACTCATCAGTTTCACCCTCTCTGTGCAATCCTGCCCTCTCTCTCCATACTCAGGTTATGACATCCCCTACCACAGTACTTTGCACAAGCAGGTTTTGTCCATGGCAGCTCCTTGCCCCTTACACACTGTTTACTCCCTTTTTACTGGCATTTTTCTTCAGATCCCAGCCAAATTGTTACTTTCTTTGAGAAATATTCTTTGAGCTTTAAAATTCTGCCTCACAATTTATTTTTGGCAGATTACTTATTAGGCAAGTTGGTATTCACATCGATTACTAAAAAATTACCCACATTCTCTTCTTTATTTTTCAATTATAGTTGACATCACCCACATTAAAAAAAAATCAAAACATTTATTATATGCTATCAATCTGTAAAACAGTGAGTCTTATAAAGCAAAAACCTAGTACAGCGCTAGCCAGTTTGGCTCCGTGGATAGAGTGTCAGTCCCGGGACTGAAGGGTCCTGGGTTACACTCTGATCAAAGGGATGTACCTTGGTTGCAGGCTCCATCCTGGCCCTGGTCAGGCCTGTGCTGGAGGCAACCAATTGATGTGTCTCTCTCACATCGATGTTTCTCTCTCTGTGTCTCTCCCCCGCCCTTCCACTTTCTCTAAAAACAGCTCCTAGGCAACATATCCACAGAAATCTTTCCCAATTGAGCTCCCCGCCCCCCATTCATTCCATTATATTTAGACTTTACTCCCAATGATTCCTTCTCTCATGAGTATTACAAATGCAGAATGTTAGAGTACCAAGGCTTCACTGTGGACCTAAGGCTCCCGGGTTCGATTCATGTCCAGGGCCCATACCTTGGTTGCAGGCCCCTTATTTTACTTAAAAGAAACATCTCCAGTGTTGAGGAAAGTTACTGAACAACTGCCATACAATTAAGCCAAAATAATGTAAATTTCTGTTAATTTCTTTACAAGTTCTAGGTGGAGAGTTTTAATTCTAGCACTCGTCATTACTATAAATGTCACAAAAGTTTAATTGGATTCAGAAGTTATGGCAAACAGAAGCTTTTCACTCATGTATTCTTGAATTTTTGTATGCATGTATTTTTACCTGGCCCTTGCTGATAAGTGGGACTTTACAGTCAGTTTTAGAAGATGGAATACAAGAAAATGCGTGTCAATAAAAATATATAAGAAAGAAAAAGAAAATGCGTGTCAGTTCACGGTGTTGGCCTTCAAGTCTCAGCGTGCTCCTCTTTTTTTGTGACAGTGACCCTTCGCTCTGATAACCCATGACTGAGGGGTTGGACCCCTGGGCGGGTAACGGCGGGGCGCCCTGCGGGCCTGCACTGCACTTGACCGGAAGCACCAGGCGGTCTTGCTAAGCACCTGGGAGCACCACAGCCTAACAGGGCCCTCCGGTCAGTGCAGTGGTCCCGGTACCGCGACGAAAGCCCTGCTGAACATCTTTTCAAGATACGGAGATAGACGAAGAGTACAGAGATAGGCAAAGTAAAGCTCTACTTGCCAACACTATAACCAATACACATACAGTCTGCCAAACGGAAGCATGTTCCAAAATGTCGGCCGTTTCACATGTGAAACACTAAAGTATCCACTCTGCCGCCAGAGAACCTGCTCCAAAATACCCAGTGAAAGAAAATAAAATAAAAACAGAAGAAAACAAACACACAAACAAACAAACAAACAAAATATCCAGTGAGAACCTCCGGCCGCCGGCAGCCCTCACAACGCTCTGACGGCCATTTCCGCCATGGCCGCCGCCACCCACCACAAGGAGGCGCCAGCGCGGGTCGCCGGCCGCGCCCCCACCCCGCCGGTCCCGCGGCCTCGCCCGCATCTGGTTCTTCCTTGAGTCCCGCCTACCGGCGGCCTGAGACCCGCTCACCTAGCCTCTCCGCTCGGTCTCTGCTCGGCGCTGAGGGCGGAGCGGAGGTGTGTCCTCAAGGCCTGAGGGGCACTGCGCGCTCCTCTCCGCCCGCGAAGCCAGGGGTCTTCCACGTCCGGGTCAAAGGGCGCGACACAGTCCCAGTTTCCTGTTCACGGTTGTGAACCGAATATGAACCCGTCGGCTGTACAGTCCTGTCGGCAGCGTCCGGAAGGTGACTGGCCCCTACGACAGGCAGCGTCCGGAAGGTGACTGGCCCCTACGACAGGCAGCGTCCGGAAGGTGACTGGCCCCTACGACATTCTCCGTCTTCCTCTCTGACTTTCCACCTCTGTTTAAGGTGGCAGTTCACCTCCCCTCCAGTTCTAACAGTGTCTGGTTTCTTACTCCGTTCTTGAATATCTTGAAAAGCCCCCATTTTGTTTTTCTCAAATGAAATTGCCTAGGGTGGGAGGGTGGGAAGAGATCAACAAGAGAACTTGTGTGCACATGTGCACAACCCAGGGACACAGACAATAGGGCGGTGAAGGCCAAGGGGGCGGGGGCGGGGATGGGCAATAAGGGTCAAGGGGGGGGGAAATCGGGACACATGTAATACTTTCCGCAATAAAGATTAAAAAAAAAATTGCCTAAAAGTCTCAGCCTGTTTCTTTAGAGGTTCTCTTAATAGTTTCTGCCCTGCCCGGTTTGGCTCAGTGAATAGTGTCGGGCCTGCGACTAAAGGGTCCCAGGTTCCATTGGCCAAGGGCACATGCCCCATTGCGGGCTCGATCTCCCCCTGTAGGGGGCGTGCAGGAGTCAGACAAGCAATGATTCTCATCCTTGATGTTTCTATCTCTCCCTTCCTCTCTGTAAAAAATCAATAAAAATATTTTTTAAAAAAAATAGCTTCTGCCCTTAAAGGAAGTGTTTCCACAATCTGTCCTTGTCTCCGTTTTTGTTTTTTAAATATATTTTATTGATTTTTTACAGAGAGGAAGGGAGAGGGATAGAGAGTCAGAAACATCGATCAGCTGCCTCCTGCACACCTCCCACTGGGGATGTGCCCGCAACCAAGGTACTTGCCCTTGACCTGAATCGAACCTGGGACCCTTGAGTCCGCAGGCCGACGCTCTATCCACTGAGCCAAACCGGTTAGGGCTTGTCTGTTTTCTGATTCACAAAATCATACTGCAGTTCTCAACCGCCACAGGCTCCCGCGCAGCACGCAAGCTCCCAGCAGCATCATTTCTCCTTTCCCTGCTCACTGGGGAGACGGCGGCCTGTGGGGGTGCGGACGGACGGGGGGCGGGGGCTGTAACAGGCCCGAGGTTCACCTGCCCGATGCTTGGAAAGAAAGGCCGGTGCTCGCTTGGGCAGCGCATATACTAAAATTCTAGCCATACGGAGAGGATTGGCATGGCTCCGGTGCAAGGATGATATGAAAATTCGTGAAGCATTATATACTAGTATTTTTTTAAAAGGCCAATATTCAACAGATCAGAGTTTGGGGCAAGGACAGATTTATTGATGAAGGAGATGGGAGGACTAATTCTCAAATCTATTTTAAGAGTGTCTGGAATCCAGGCATCTTTTATTGTTAAGGGAAAGGATGGGGTGGGGCGGGGGGGTGAGTTGTGGGTGCTGGCCCCTTCCTTCCATAAAATGCAGAATGTTGGAAAAGTTTTTACTCTATATATTTGTCGGCAGATCCAGTAAAAATATGCATACATTCTATGCATGTCCAGCCAAACCAGCTAGGGCAACATTTGCTTTTTTAAAGAAAACACTAGAAATAAGGTTTTGGAATAAATAACTCCTGAAGTCTCTTTGTACTCCGAGGTGTGTTTTTTTTTTTAATATATTTTTTTATTGATTATAGAGAGAAAGGAAGGGAGACGGATAGAGAGATAGAAACATCAACAAGAAGGAAACATCAATCAGCTGCCTCCTGCACACCCCTTAAAGGGGATCAAGCCCACAACCTGGGCATGTCCCCTGACCAGGAATTAACCACTGACCTCCTGGTCCATGGGTCAACGCTCAACAACTAAGACACACCAGCCAGGCAAAAAAAAATTTTTTTAATCTATTAATTCCTTACTCATTTGTTTGTCATGGGGCACTGACCTAATGCTAGTATCATTTATGGAATAGCTATTTTTATGTCTGTTACTAAGATAGTGTATATCCTCTTCCATTATAAACACCATCACTGTGACTTTTGTCAGTGGAGGGGAAAAAAAAGAGGGTAAGAGGGTTCTATGGATATTAACCTCACAGGGTGATCTTGATCATAAATTCCTAACTGGGCAGATCATGGTGGGTAGTCAGGTCCCAAGCATATAACATATATATGTACATTCTCACCCGATGATATGTTTTTATTGATTTTATTTATTTATTTATTTATTTATTTATTTATTTTATTTTTGCGGGGTAACTAGTTTATTCAAACTGTTGGACAGAGCTCCCACCATGGGAGCTGAGCCATGGGGCTGAACTGTGTGGGGATGACCAGGTATCAGAAGCTCAGCTGAGCAGCAGGAGCAGCATTGGGGGCCAGGCCAAGCAGGAGAGGCCAGCCCCCGTAGAGCCCAGCTCCATTCATGGTCTCAGCACAGAACCTGGCCACCTCCTCGTTGGGGTTGCCCTGTGCTGGGTCAAACCACATCTAGATGCAGCAGCCACTGCCTCGGCTGTAGTTGCTGACTTTGTAGGAGTGACTCCAGATTTCATTGCCCAGAGCAGCAGGCGTGGGGCAGTAGAAGTCAAAGCGGTGGCAGGCAGCCTTCACTGGGCACTCATTAGACCCTGAGGTCCAGTTCCAGCCCTTGTGCCAGTTATTCTTGCAGGTGTAGGAGCTGCGGCAGTCTTCCCACCAGCTCTCACAGTCCTCTTTGCACAGGGGCACGTTCAGGACCTGCTCTTTGTGCCAGCTCTGGTTCACCTCCTGGATCCAGGGCCCCAGGTTGGGGGAGCACTCATACAGGCAGGTGTCCTGGATGAAGTGGCGCTTGCAGGCGGGTTTCATCGGGCCGCAGTGGTCCCAGTTGAATCTATATAGCTAGGAGACATCCTTATGGGCTTCCTGGCTGGTGTTGACAGAGCAGCAGGTGTTCTTCTTCCAGGGACTGCACTGCTCATGCAGCTTGTCCTCCGGGCTTGGCCTTTCCTTGTGGTGCTTGGCATTCATGCAGACATTGAGAAGCTCAGTCCTGGGCCCGGCTGCCCATACTTTGGCCCCCCACACCAGAAGGAGCCACAGCTGTGTTGTCATCGTTCGAGCCATGTCAGTCCCTCCACATTACACCCATCTCCTGTAGAACTAGGGTGTCTTGCCTGGGCCTCATAGACAGGACCTGAGCTGAGCAGCGGCTCAGTGGGTAGAGTGTCAGCCTGTGGACTGAAGGGTCCCAGGTTCAATTCCAATTAAGGTCACATACCTGGGTTGTGGGCTCAGTCCCTGGTAGAGGGAGTGCAGGAGGCAGCCCATCATTGATTCTCTCACATCATTGATGTTTCTATCTCTCCCTCTCCCTTCCTCTCTGAAATAAATAAAAAGATATTTTTAAAAAATAATTTCTTTCAGGTTCTTTTTTTTTAATTGGTTTTCGAGAATAGAAGGAAGGGACACAGATACGAGAGAGAGAGAGAGAGAGAGAGAGAGAGAGAGAGAAGAGAGAGAGAGAGGATCCTCTATTCATTGTATCATGGTCACTCCTGACCCTTGGAAAGAACATGCCACCGTTTGATATACAAGAAGATACTCCAACCTACTGAGCCACACAACCCAGGGTTGGGGCCTGTTTTCTTGTGCTTAACATGTTTGTTAGAATTAGTGGGATTATAAGGGCAAAGCAACAATTTTTCAGTTATTGATGGATAGTTCAGCATAGCTTTCTTAGGAAAAGGTTTCCACTCCAGCTGTCTGCAGCGCTGGAAGGCCTACCTCCTTAAGCCAAAACAGGGTACTACCAATTTGTTCAATCTTCCCAATACAATACGCATAGTAAACAGGGCAGACATGTAATTTCATATTATTAATAGGTTTCTGCATTTTTTCCATAACTGTTGCTTTCTTTTTCTACATGGGGAGTTGTGTTTTTGTGGTTGTTTATTTCTTTGACTTCTTTGTATTATAGGCATTCTTTATTTAGAGATCATATTTTATTAGTAAATACTGAAAATATTTTCCCTGGTTTTGTTTATATTCAATTTGCATGTTTTGAATGTTTTTATTCTCTGGATCATATTTCACCAATGAGGCTTTTGGGGCACATACTGCTGTTGAAGGGGAACAGAATATGCCACCCTAACATATGCCTCTTTGGGGGCTGATGATTTTTGAAAGGCTGCTGGTGCTGCAGAATATCTGGAACCGGTGAGGCTGCCCTTTTGTGAAGGAGATTTACATTTATAAGGGAAATCTCCACGTGTAAGGGTGTTTCTGTATCAGGAAGAAGAGGATGACTCTGAAGCTCTAGAAACTGTTTATCAATGGAGAAGGCACCCATTGAATCTGCCTGACAATCTTTCCCTTGTTCACTCTGCACCATAACTGCCCCACCCCCACCACCCTTATTTTGTCTTTAGCTGAAAATTATATTTAAGGTGATGGCTTAGGCCATTTTGGGGAGAAAATCTGTTCCTGGGTCTCTTCCATCTGTATAGAAGGTGTACATGTTATTAAACTTGTTTTTTTCCTGTTAATCTGTCTTTTTATTACTGAGATGTCTCAGCTCAGATAGTAGAGGGACAATTGTATTTTCTTATACAAAACTAGAGAGTAGGGTCCCTAGGCCTGGCCGACAATCAGGGCTGATGGGGCCTTCCGGCTGCTGGCCAAGGCCTTCCTTCGTTTCACGCCATCCCCTGGTGGTCAGCGCACATCATAGGGAGCAATCGAACTCCTGGTCTCCCACTCGAACTCCCAAGGGGACACTTTGCATATTAGCCTTTTATATATATACTAGAGCCCCCGTGCATGAAATTCATGCATGGGGTGGGGGTGTCCCTCATTTCATCCTGCACCTTCTCCAATCTGGGACCCCTTGGGAGATGTCCAACTGCTGGCAGTCTGACATCCCTCTCACAATCCAGGACTGCTGGCTCCTACCACTCACCTGACTGCCTGCCTGATTGCCCCCTAACCACTCCCCTGCAGGCTTGATTGCCCACAACTGCTCTCCCCTGCTGGCCATTTGTGGCGGCCATCTTGTGATGACATGAGGGCATCGCGTGAGGGTGCGAGAACCACCTAGGCTTTTATTAATATATATATATATATATCTCCTATCTAATAAAAGAGAAACTTGGTAATTAACCATAACTTCGCTACCCTTCCCATTGGCTAATCAGGGTGATATGCAAATTAACTGCCAACTAAGATGGCAGTTGATTTGCATATATCTGCTGGGAGCGTAGCAGGCCAGGCGGCTGAAGACAAGCTGGGCTGCGGAGGCGGGAGCAAAACAAGCCGGCAGGGTGGTGAGGAAGGTGGGAACAAACAAGCTGGCCCGGTGGCTGAGGGAGGCCGGAACGATCAACCTGGGATGGGTGGCTGAGGGAGGCGGAACGAAACAAGCCGGACATCCCCCGAGGGATCCTAGACTGTGAGAGGGCACTGGCCAGCCTGAGGGACACCCCCCTCCCCGAGTGCACAAGTTGTTGTGCACCGGGCCTCTAATATATATATACATATATATATATATTTTTATTTATTTATTTATTTTTTACCTAAGATGGTAGAGGACCATTGTATTTCCTTATACAACATACTGTAGAAGAGTAAGGATGAAAAAAAGCAAACTGAATTTGGTAAATGTGAATTTGGAGCCATCATAAATACTGTGTTTTAAACCTGGGGCTTTCCTTAACATCTATCTCCTCATAAGTAAAAAAAAATTATAGTGATATTATTATTCTTATATACCCAATTCCAAGAATTTAGGATTGTAGGAGAGAAAAAAAAAATTCCCTTCTACCATTGTAGGTTCTGTGGCTGGTCTAAGAATTAAATTGACATAAAATAGACTTGTTGTGGGCTGTGTGAACAGCACCTGGGGTCTGACTGATGGGGTCCGTCCAAACCTGGGTTAAGCAACCTCGGTACTTGGGTTCTGGTTGGAAAGAATTCAGAGCCAAGACCCCAGACTGTAAGAGAACATTTATTTGGTAAATCACAGAGATAGAAGTAATTCCTAGAACAAATGGGCTTAGGAAACCAATTGTGGAGGTAAAGGAGGAGCCCTTGGAGCTTGGGAGTGAGGAATGGTCACATGCCTGGGGCAGGGAGTGGGAGGGGAAAGAGCAGGGGGTGCTCTCAGGAGGGTCCTCTGTCCTAAAGGATTTAAGTGTTATCTGTAGGGAGGAAAGGTCAGTGGGTCCAAACTGCTTAATCAGCATTACTCAAGGTAAGGAAAAGTCAGCCTGAGGGAAGGGCCCCACCCTACAATGGATTGTGCCTTG